TTATAGCGCTATAACACTATAGTGCTAGGGTATTTTAACCAATTAAAATTTAAGATTAGGTGTAACATGCAGATCATCTTTGTATAACAAAAATAAAAAAATTTTTTAGAAAACAATTATATCTCAAAATTTTGTCTAAATAACTATCTTTTGAGCTTTAACAAAAAAAATTCCTTGCTAAATTTTATTATAAAAACTACTTAACTCTAATCTTTAACCTTTACCCTTACCCTAATATTAAAAAAAGTCAATTTTTGGTTTAATAAAAGTTGTTTTGATTTACATATTACACCAGTTTGTTTATTACATATAAGGTAGCATTGCAGTGCTATAGTGCTATAGTAATATTCTCTATTTTAAAGACAGTTTATTTCATAAACAAATTTATTTTATAGACAATTAAGTACAGTAGTACTTAATTGTCTATAAAATAAATTTTTCTATGAAATAAACTGTCTTTAAAATAAACTGTCTATAAAATAATTGTCTTTGAAATAAACTTGTCTATGAACTAATTGTCTGTGAAATCAAGTGTCTGTGAAATAAACTTCTATGAAATGATATGAACCCTTAATTCAGGACATCCATGGGCACTCATTTAAGATCATGTAAGCTATTTTTAAAGAAACCGATTTTTAAAATGACACTGTTTTGCTTTTATTCAGTAACCAAAATATACATTAAAATATTTAATAGAAGAGATATTTAATATTCTTTAACTTTTTTGTACAATTCTCAGAGAATTAAAGAGATTCGCTTAATCTGAAAATTTGAATATACAATTTTAGGCTCAAAAAGTCAATGAACTAATAATATGTATAACTTGCTAAAGTTTTGGCATTACAATTCCCCTTAGAAGTATCTCACCTGTATAATTTACTCTAAGTCTATTAGAATCTATGTTTAAAATAATACTTTAATGTTCCACACAGTTGGCCAAACAACATCATTACATAAAGTTGTTAATTTATCTATTAGATTTTCATTTTTTTTGATAAAAAGTAAACCTAATATTTCATATAAGACAATTACTTTTGTACACCAGGTGTATATACACCACATATATCAGGGATGGTAAATGACCTGGTTATTTGCTCAAAATTTAAATAACCTAGTCATTTGACTAAATGACCCAGATCATTTGGTCATTGGTTATTTGGGTCAAAGTAATTTTATTAGTCAGATAGCTAATATAAAAAGTTATCAAACACCATGATTTCACTAAACTATAATAGTAACTACACAAAACTTTTCTAAGTTTATCGATATTTACAACTTAAATAAAGTTATTTAGAAGAATGAATTGCATATATTGTATCTTGAAATTTTTATATAATTCAGATAACTTTTTATTATATTAATCTTCAGAACAACTTTACACAATAATTATAAAAACTACTTTTTAATAATCAATTTTGATTGGCTAAAAGGCATTAGATCATTAGTTAATGACCTTCTATGGGTCATTTAAATGTGAAATGACCCAATGACTAGTCACTAGTCATTTGGGTCATTTCAGGTCATTTACTATTCCTGACATATATTGATATCTCAAAATCCTGATTATATAATAGCTTTTGGCGTTCTAATAAAAAATATTCCTTGCAAAATTTTAGTATAAACTAAAACCTCATCTAACCCTAAAGCTACCCTCACCCTAACCTTAAACTATACTAATTTTTTGGTTACAATTTATATATTACCGGTAAGCAAATTTGTAAATCAATAAATTAGTATGTAATGTATATACACCAGGTGTAAATTAAGGAATTTTCTTCATATGAATTCACGGTTATTTTTCACTGTGATTTCGTAAGTTTACATGAATTAAAAATTATCTTAATGCCGACTGTTACATATAATTATTAAATATGTAGCAGTTAATAATATATAGCTACTATGCGTGACGACTAATGTTTCACATGACGAATAATAAAAATTATTCGAACAAATTTGCTTATTCGAATTATTTGTCAGGCAACTATTTATTCGAATATTCGTCACGAAGCTCTAGACATTACCGTGAATCATCATTAAATCAAATAATGATGCAATAATGTTGGCCAACCTTTTTTAAAGTTGGTACTTTATACATAACGTGATGAAAATTACATGAAATCTATTTACTGAAACTTTCGTAAAATTTCGAATTTTGGCTATATTCAAAATAACACCCGTGGGCATTATTTCGCACTAATAGGTCATACATCAAATATTTATCGCTCATACTTTACATCATGTGTTATGGATCTTTGATCTCGCAACAAATGTGGCTTCGTTCACGGCATCTCAAATGGATAGACTGTCTAATATAAATACGAAGTGTGTATGCACTTTAAATCTTCCATTTATAATAAAATATTCGGTCATGAGTATTTAATAAAAATACCCTGATCCATATGGGTTATTACCCAATAAAATATTGATCAAAGTATAAAAAGAATACAGTATTGCGAAGAAGAGTATGTTGATTTACTTGGCCAATTAAAGGGTCATTTATTAAAATGTAAAAACTTCCAAGAAATATATAAGGTTTATTAAAAGTTCAAAACCAGGATTCTGGTTCTTCAAATAATTCATTCGCAAATTCAATGAGATTTGCATAGTGGTAATATTGTAAACCTTGGTCTTTCAATACCAACCAAATGTAAAACTAATATAGAATGAAAGGTTGTATTGGCCGATAAGAATTTCGCATTTGAAAATGTAATAGCTTTGATAAAATTAAAGCGATCAAATATATTAATTTTATTATTGTTATTTTTTTTTATGTAATAAATTCGAAATTATATAGCACCATCTTTTTTTAAAAATTTTTTTTCGGCTAGAAATTAAAATTAACAACAGAATATATCAACCAAATTCAAATTCAATTTGATCTATCATTGATATCAGCGCTAGTAATTGAATAATTCGAATTGTTTTGGTGAGACGATTCGAATGATACTAAATCAATGATAGATCAAAACTGAATTTTATGTAATGTTACAAAGATTTATACAAATTTGATCGACATATCCTGTAATTAGGGATGTTAAAAGTCCGGTTCCAAGTCAAACTTGGGACTCGACTCGCATTGCATGTGCATTTTGTATATTAATATATATAGCAGGGATGTGAATAGACATAGTCATCAAAAAAATTATTGTCTAATGGTCTATTGGAATTCTATTGTATAATGAGTCTAATGTCTATTGGTTTTTAAATAATTGGTTTTTTTTATATTAGCCAATAAGATTGGTTTAAATTATATAGTAATTTGTCTGTTGCCTAATGACTTAATTAGACATTAGACTGTCTATTGAGTCTATTGGCTTGTCTATTGTCTATTCACAACCCTGTATATAGTACTGAAAAGAACTGAGTACGCATGCAAAGTATGCATGAATACACTTTTTTGCACAAGTTTGACTTGGAGTCGAGTCGGACTGGACCGGACTTTTAACATCCCTACCTGCAATATTTTCAGTTTCAGCAAAAATTTTTTACAGGAGATTCCAGATCGGAATGGCCGGAATGCATCGTGGCTACCGTTAGCTATACTGGTTAAGTTAGCGGAGCTATAGTAAAATTATCAGTCGGGCATTTTTTACTTAATAACCGATTATGGTTTCATTAGTAAAATTCTTAGTGATCTTGGGCAAAATTGATCAATTCTGGCTCATCCGACCAGGGTTCCGGTGTATCCAGACCCGGAATTTTGGGGATCTCCCTGTATGAGTTTTTTTTACCATCCCCACCGTACGATCACACGTATTAGAAGCTAATATATCTTAAGTTATTGACCAAAAGATCATGCACGTAAATACATACGTAGAATACATTATGCAAGTACATACATGTAAAAACTATTCGGCATTGATTTTTTGATATATATGTCGTGCCTCAGACTGACTATTGCCTCAGATGTCAATCGGCTTAAGTTAGGATAGGGTTTAGGGTAAGAATCTGGGTTTAATTTAGGTCAATCAATGTCGATCAGTCAATGCGAGCCAAAAAGTCGACATCTGACGCAAGCATTAATCTGAGGCACAACATATATACATCAACTTTTAATATTATATATATGATACTTATGCACCCATCGCTAAAAAGAGATTGAAAGTTTTTTAGACCTCATACTGCATATTCTACATATGAAAACTGCCTAAAGATTTTAACAAAGCTTAGGTTTATATCATTTCAGAACACATTACTTATCTAATATGGTCAAATCAAATGTATTTGAACCGCTATTGCGGCCCAACGTCTTAGCTATTTGATTACTGATCTATATCCATATTACTGTACCGCTATTTGTAAATATTCGAAAATAATATAGCATACAGACTGTGTTAGCATGTCCTCTGATTGTTAGTAAGTCATTTTATATGTGTTCCCGTCTCAATGATTTGGGTATATATATTGATATGTTAAAAAATGGTCCTTGGGGGCTTTGCTTCTTAGTCTTGTTTAAAGACCGGACCGACCATTATAGATAATCTAGATATGAATAGCGCCAAGAAAAGAACCTGTAATTTGGTGATAAAAATTTATATGCATTATTAAGAATGCGAATTACATCATTCATTGTGAGCCAGATGAGAGTGCATTGACATAAAAAGAATAATCAATAGCGACAAAGGATTCTCTGTATATTTACCCTTTTTACAAATTCATATTCTAGTCTTGATTTTGTGGAGTCTTTCATAATGTGACCAATTAATACAGTAAATTGTCATTATTATTAATCAAGAGTCTATCATCATCATCAACGGATAAACCATATCTGTTCTTTGAGGATACACCAAAGCGGTGTAGTTCTATAAAATTGATTATTAATCGATGGATAAATTTAAAATCAGGTGATTTTTCGGGACTAATTAACCTATGAGCAAATCAATACCATTTATTATTCATTCAATATACCGAGAATAAGAATGTACGACCAATACTTGGATATAAAGATGGATTCACAAAATAATAAAATAAAAAAATAAAAAAAATCAATCGCTCGCGCAATGACAAAAATTATCATCATCATGTAAGAAATATTTTATCAAGAACTATTTTTAAAGTGTGATGATGTTTTCTTAACTTTTTGTTATATTTATCAGATATGCTACGTACACTCACGTGTATCAATTGGCCTTAGAAATAAAAAAAGGAGTGGAAAGTGTCATACATGGATCAAACGTTGAAATTTTTCAAATTCCTGAATCATTTCAAGAGCAAATCCTAGACCAAGTGCACGAACATCCAAAGCCGGATATCCCATTTGTTACCTCCGAAAAATTAGCAGATGCTGATGGACTTCTTTTCGGGATCCCTGCAAAATTTGGACAATTTCCAGCTCAATTTAAAGAGTTCCTTGATTCTTCAAGTCAAATTTTGGGCAAAGAGGCATTAAACAATAAATTTGGCGGAATTTTTTTTTCAATGGATACACAACAAAGTGGGCAAGGTATAAATCATACTGTAATAAAGGATTAACTAATTAGCTCAACTTAATTAATTAAAATAACTAATTAAAGTAATTATGATTTTCTGCGATAGAAATGATAGCTTTCACGGCAATAAGCTGGTTATCGTATCATGGTATTAACTTTATTCCACTCGGTAGTGGATCACATGAAGAATTGATTGGAGGAGTACCTTGGGGAGCTGGTACTATTGCCAGTAATGATACTTTAAGGCCAATTTCCGAGAAGGAGAAAGATATTGCACAATTTCAAGGAAAAAAATTTGCAGAAATTGTTATGGCTTATGTTAAAGGAAGGCAAGAATAGGCATAATTCATAAAACTAATGAATTTTTTTCATAATTGCATACATATTGTGAGGGACCAACATGAGGTTGGTCCAACGTGAGGTCAATTAGTGTTTTTTATGATTATTAATCACTGACGGACTTTAAATACTAATTGACCCCACCTCACGTTGGAACCAACCTCATGTTGGTCCCTCACACATATTATCTAAATTTAAAAAAAAAATTTTTTACCACATTAATAATAGAATGACCGAGACAGGAAAAATCGTCACAACAAATCCAACTCAAACCTTAAATGAGAAACTAGAAAAGCCATGTAGAAAATTCTTGGTTGGTCGTAAAGAATATGATTAATTAATACGCTGGTTGTGATCCGCGACCTGAGTAGTAATATAACTATGAAAACTTGCATAACTATAATAAATATACAGTCATTAAATCATATACAGGATTTAATTATGTACCTTTTAAAATCATTTCTATTACTGTTGTTATTGTTGGTTACAGCATTGGAGCTATACATGCCGTAGAAATTATTGCGGCATAATTTTTACCTGAATTTTGATATGCAGCAATGCCTAAATCTAAAGTTCATACCGCAACTTATGATCAATGCCGCAACTTATGACTAATGCCTAAAGTCATAATTAATGTCATAAATGTTGATATAGTGCCGAAAGTAATAAAGTATAATTGATATAGTGCCGAAAGTAATAAAGTATAATTAATATAATGCTGAATGCAATGAAGTATAAAGTATCATCGATTGATGTAGTGATTTTAAGTGATGTAATAAAAACAAAAAATATATTTATTTAAATACTGAAATAATTCGAGTTTATAAATTATTATAAGACAAATTGCATTAATTTAGATTATGACATGTTTTGGATTTCGGCATTTGTTTATTTTTGCCGAAAAATTGGTGGCTAAATACTTTCGGCACAGCCAAAACTAATTTCTACGGCGGAGCTATTGTCTTTATTTCCTTTCGTTCGTAAGGCGAATAAATAATCGGAACTATATAATTCTACATCTTTCAGAATTTAAAATTGGTTGCTTTTCATGTGATTCTTCCGATTTTAAATTCAGAAGTTTAATTTGTAAAGATTTTACATGTATATGTGAGTGAATAGAACAAAACTTGACCAATTTAATCAAGAAATTTTTAAATAAATTTTACAAACTTGTAAGATTAATTTGAATTATTTTTAGTTCAAAGTTTTAAAAAGTTTTTATTTAACTATATTTAATAAAAAATGTATTAAGTTCGATCTTTATCACATTATCTGTTATCGCGGTTTGCCAAATCATCGAAAAAACTCGATTATTAGGTGGTTTCCAGTTTCTTAAAACTTCTCCGACATCGCGATATGAAATTATCATATCGGAGTAGTATTAGGGAATAGGAAATACCTAACTTCTGATTTGTTATTAAATAATTGACGCAATGGCGATAGCTATAGTTTAAACTGATCCGGATTTACTCATGACCAGCTTCGGATATAAGTGTTCTCAAATATTATACTATGTTCACATACACATATACATAAAAAAAAACTGTATAACTGAAATCAGAAAATTAAATATTATTAAACTTTAAAAAAATGTAAAGATTGCTCAATCAAAATGAATATTTCATCCAAAATTAGATACCAAATCATTAATCTTTACACACTTAAATGCTTATAATGATTTAAATTTCAATCATAAAATATCAGATATACAGATTTATATTATTATATTCGGCATGACAAACGTTATATAGCTATTTATTACATATATACAATACACATGAGAACACTGCTATTATTTTACTGTTCTCAAAAAAATTTTAATAGTGAACAGCAAAAAATTTACAAGTGTTCTCGTGAGAACTCTGAGAACACTAATTTCCATGACACGAAATGGCTTCAGACTTACCATATTTATCCAAAATTTTAGAGACCGATGTTTTGACTTATATCCAGGTATATATAGATATTAATATCATTCTTAGACACGTAATAATAAAACATGTTCTTATTCATGCGATGTACCCCCTCTACATGAGTACTCAGGATACTAAAACGAACTCGGGAAATAAATACGATACTGTAACTATTCAAGTGATAAATGACTAGTCATTGAGTTGTTTCAAAAAATAGATGATTTAGATCATTAAAAATTGTCGCGGCTGATGCTGGAAATGGCTGATGCTGGAAATTTTAATTATTTTAATATGAAATTTTCAAAAATTTTTAGGGCCTTTTGTTAGGGTTTTTTTTAGGGTTAGGTTAGGGTTTAGGGGTAGTTTTAATAATAAAAGAGTATAAGTGGATTTTGGTAGGATTTATATTTTTAAATTAAGGTCCCTAATTTTCAGCTTCAGCCATTTCCACGACAACAATTAACAATATGATACTTTTTAACCAATCAATTTTCAACATGTGGGTGAAGTCAATAAAAAAGTGACAAATTTTTTCTAGGTAAAAGTTTTCTTAAGCTTAAATATCTTAGCAATTATTTTATTAAATTTAATAAAATTTTTTTTGATTTAATTCTATAATTCCAAGATTAAAATAAAAAAATTTTTTAGCAAATTTGATTAAATAATTGTTGAGATATTTCAATTTAAAAATTAAAAAAATCTATAACTATATACTAAAAATATTTGTGTGTAACGATAACGTTTAGACTACTAATATAAATAATTTTATTAAGTTGTGTAACATTCTTCAAGAGAACATAAGGATCAGCAAAGTCATTGTTACACAAAGTATTGATTTTGTTAATCCTTATGTTTAGATCTTTAATCCCACATATCTCAATAACTACTGGCCCGATTTTG